TCTGAACTTTTCATGTATTTTTTTTTTCAAGTACTATGTTTTTATTATGACGAATATATAGGTCAATAAGTTTGCTTTTTCTATGACATTGAAGATGTATTGTCGACTATTGCTTTGTTGATATTTAGCGAAGCTCATTTATTTTAGTTTATTGATATTATCAATAGACTTCTTATGGAAATCATTATTTCACGTTTGACAATATTAAATGATCTGATGGCTTTGTTTCGATATTGTTATATGTATATAGAAATAGTTCTTTTACAAAAAAAAAAACAAAAGAGATTAATATACATCTAAAATAAGAAAGATCATACTTTCATATGTTTATTTCTTTGGCTGATTGTCGAAAAATTATCACTAAGAAAAATATCAAGTCTAAAATTGTTTCATAGCACTTAAGAATCCATTAGAAAAATTGTCACTCTTATGTGTGTGTGTAAGTCATGATTTTCCTTTTTTGTAGGCGGTTGTTGTAGGTTAATGTCTAATGTCGAATTAAATATAGGGATTCTTCGAATCCTATATTGAATGCATTCAAAGTCAATTTTCCTACTATAATCCATGTAAGAATAGTTATTGATGAGTTCGAAAAGATATGATAATAGTTTTTTTTTTTTTTCATATTATATAGCAGATTGATGAATGAAAGTTAGATGAGCATAGAATTTTCCTTCCGCAATACAAATCGGTTTCTTTTTTAATTTAACTATGATATATGAATCGGTTATTATAAGGGACGATATCATTTCTATATTCTAGTTAATCAATAAAAATTCTCATTTCAATATTGAATCCAATCAAGCTTAACTTTTTTGTCTATAACATTATGATCTAATTTTTCAAAGTGTTATATATTATTTAAATACTAATTAAAATAAAAGCGTTTTTTTTTTTATCACATACAAATAGCAATTTAATTTCTATGACATATGCAGTGTTATAATAAATAAATCAAAGCAAAACAACAGCTGTCTTCGTTTTTGAAGTTTCATACTATATAAATACATTCTTCAACAGAAAGAATTGAAATCAATACAGAGTATGTACTTTGGAGTATGCTTATAATATCCATTATGAAGAAAGATGTTACAAAGGAATGAATTGTTATATAGTTTTGATGTCTATTGAAAAAAAATAACAAATATGAAACAATTAATAATAAATTGATTATAGACCTTGGTTTATTTATGCTTTGAGAAAATTAAAGAATATACCATATTAAATACTGGATAAATATTTATATAAAGAAAAAAAAAACATACATATCTTGATATTAAACATTGAATTATGTTTATTAAACTGAAAAAAACGAAAAGATATTTTTAAAAAGAAATAATTTCCCGAGAAAGGATATACTTTCTTTTTCCACTTCTGCAAAATAAGAAAATCTACAAGTAGGAAATGCATTATTTCGTTCTTGTCGTAATCATTTAAAAGAAATGCAATGAAAGCCAAATAAACACAATATAAAACATTAAAAATATTCAATTTTCATATTATAGACATGTTTTTTTGTTGACATAAAATTTGTATTGATCTAAATTAACAATTTCTATGAGACTTATTGTCACTATGAGAAAGATTTTATTAATAATATAAAAAAAAAAAAAAGTGAAAATCTTTTACACAAAACAAAAAATAGTTATTACATATAAATAAGTAATTACTATTTATTTAAACTATTCTTGAATCTTCAGAAATATCAAGTACTATTTTAATGTTATTTATATATAAAAGCATTGTTATGAAAAAATCAGAAATATCAACAATTTACTATTTTTATACTACTAATGCAAATATTTATGAATTTAAATTACGGTTATATAACTTCAAAATGTTGAAAATAAATCCCAGGACTGCTGAAACTCGAGGTAGTTAACTTTGGAGAGAAGTCTTGCAAATTTTTATGCTTAGATGAGGAAAATTTTCCATGATGAAGAGTAATGATTCGTCACATCTCCAAAACCTACTCAGTCGGACAACGTCTGTTCAATAATATTGTGAAGCATATGAACTGAGCTATATAATGATTACTATTTCTAACTATACAAATGTACCAAATATGAGCAACATATATACAACATCTGTTGCTCCGAGAATATACGCTTCTTCATGCTTTAATCAAAAAAAAAACTAATGCACGTACTGCATTTTATTGAATAATAAAATAATAATTTATTTCACAAATGGTGAAATTGATTCTTCAAGTAGAAAATGAATAAATATAATTGATTCTGTTATTTTATAATGCTTGAACTTTTTTTGTTTCTAGACTCTGATTTGTTTTTTTCTTATTAGAATAAAAAATGTCTTTTTTTTTCACTTATCATCGGTTTTTTTTAATTATCGATGTGTTTTATTTATCAAAGAAACAAAAAAATAGAATTTTTATTACATTATAATGGCTTAACCAGAAAATTGGGTGTGATAGGACTTGACATTCAGTATTTTTTTTTATTGAACTTTTTGAGTACATGGAAATATATTTTTCGCTTGGATAAAGCAGCCGAAGGCGGCTGATTAACATACTCTCTCGCACAACATTATGCTCTGTTAGATTTTATTTCTTTGCAGGAAGTAAGAAAATTGAAATATCTTCCACATTGATGCTTTTACAAAGTTTTAATAATTATATGAAATTCTCTGACTGTAAAAGAAAGATTCATATGTTTCATTGTTAGGTATCTTTCAAGATTTGTTTTTTTTTTAAAACTCTTGGAATTTTTTGCAAACTTCATTGTATATTTTATCATCGAACAGAAGGAGTTAGGCTGAGGACGGACATCTTGCTGCCCTTGAGAACTATGGCTCGCGTTTTTTTTGTACAGTTATAATGTCTATGTGCTGTCAATAGATAAATCCGCTGATTTACATATATCCAATAAATCTCGATAGCCTCTGTGATTTTTATGATTCTTGACGAAGACTTTTATTTAATAAAAATATTCAAGTTTGGTTTCGGCTTTCATTAATATGAAAGAATGATATTTAACTGGATTCAAAATAGCGTATAGCTACAGACACTTGACAAAAGTTGAAATTATATTTTTGTTGTCTTATTGCAAAATATTGTACTATAAACAAATTTACTGGTCTACTGAGCACTTTCAAACTATACCGATGATCTTTTTTATATCATCAAAATGATTCTTAATTCAAGAAAATTCTTTTTTATGCTTCATTTCTTTGCTAATACAAATATCAATTTGAATAATTGGATGGAATTTTCTGAATTCGTTGTTTTCAATGCTCGAAAAGTGTTGGCTTTATGTAATTATTATCTATGTAATAGTAAACTTCAAGAAAATACTGATAGTTTTGAATAACATTTAATTCAATATCTCTCGCCAAAACTATCATCATAAAATTTTCTCATAAGATCTCATTACTAAGGAGGTATTCGGTCAAAATGAACTTTATCAGATAGTCTTACAGAGAGAAAAATTGGAATAAAAATCCACCACTTTATTGCAGCACAGTTCGATTAGAGTGTATGTTCCAGTTTCGGTTCTCTCTACACTCATATTTGAATGTCCACGGAAAAAATTGTACTGTATATCTGCCATCTCTCGGAGCATTTTTGACATCCCGAATTTCTGGATATAAGACACTACTACAGGTGTTAAAAGTTTGTGGGTAAGCAAACCAGGATGATGCCAATCTCGTTTGCAACGCTAGGATTGATCTGTTACCTAAATTTTAACAAAATCTTGAGTTCTTAGAGTTGCTTTACTTGAGTCCCGTGAGTTAAATTGGACTTCTAAGAGTTTCATAAGTATAGAACTCAAGAAATCCGAAAGAGCTTAGCTTCTATTCTTCTCGCTTCAAGATAGACAAAAATGGTCTACATTTATTGGTGTAGAAGTCATCATTTACTCGTAAAACTTTTTTTTTTCGTGATTTTTGCTGCTTTTTTTTGTTACAAGAAAATAATTTTCTTTTTAAAACTATCTGCCTAGGAAGATTCAATCTTGAACTACTATCCATTTAAAAAGTCAATAAACTCGATTGCATCACGAATAACACGGGCATAGATATAGTTAGCATTCTGCAGTTTTCAATATTTGAAAGAGGGCAGATAACTTTATCAAACCATGTACAAATCAAACAACCAACCCAGTGGCCATTTTTGAAACAATACTCATAAAAATTGTTCCGTTGCATGTTAGCTTTCACGATAGTCATTGACAGAGAAAATCAAAGCTTCTCGATCTGTACAAGTCCGATCTCTTCAAATGATTCTATTACCATGTTATAAGTATTCTTCTGAGACCTTAGAAATCCTCCAACTAATCACAGCTCATTCTAGACTGATCTGTAATTAGTTGGACGGTTCCACAAGTCTCAGAAAAATACTTATAACATAGCAATGGAATTATTTGAAGAGGTAGGACTTGCGTATATCGAGAAGCTTTGATTTTCTCTATCAAATTACTATCTTGAAAATCAACATGTAATGAGAAAATTTTTATGGACATCGTTTCGAAAATTGCTACTGAGAACTGATCACTGCTTGGTAATTTGATTTTTACATGATTTGATAAAATTATCTGCTCCCTTTCAAATACTAAAAGCTGTAGAGTATCAGCTACTTCAATGTTCGAGTTATTCGCGATATATCTAAGTTCGTTGACTTTTATGAAACACTATCTAATAGAAGTGTTGAAGTATAGAGATAGAAATTTGGACCCTTTCTTCTCCGCAGATCGTGACAGACGTTGTTAATATATGATCATAGACTTTATATCAATAACGTCTCGTTATAATATATATGAACTACTTCCTTATTGCATTTCTCGAGGAAAGGTTAGTGAAGAAGTGTGTCCTGAAATAAATATAATAAAACATATCGTCTTTCATAGTTTAATCCTACAGGAATTGTGTTACGAGTTTTTTTAATGGATAATAGTATAGTTTTAAAATACTTTGTTTACGTATTTATCATTTGATTTACATTGATAATAAACAAAAAACAAAAATGCTTTAATCCAAAAGAGTTATTTTTTCTTTTTTTTTCGTCTTTTCTGTTTTATATGACGAATCATTGTTCCTCTCCACCAAGCTTGAATACGTTTAATAGATTCTTCTTGTTGTTTTTGTTTTTCTAAAAATAAATTTTCATTAATTTTCATTTGATTATATTCATCAACAATTATTTTCATTCGTTGATATTCTTCATATATATATTGTCGTTGTCGTTTTATTTGATAAAATTCTTGTCGAAAATTTGTTAATTCTTTATCAAAACGATTTGTTTCATTTTGATAATATTCGTACCATTTATTAACATTTAATTTTATTTCATTATTTTGTTTAATTAAAATTTTAATTGTTTCTTGATGAATTATATCAGTTTGTTTAAGAATATTTTCATATTGATGTATAGTTTTAATATAATTTTGTTCAATATCTAATAACATTTGTATCCATTGTAAAATATGATTTTTTTTCCAATCATTACAATAACGTAATGAAATTTTTGAACGATGTTTTTCTTCCATTAAATGATCTTTTAATTGTGATTTTATAGAAATAAGTTCATTTATTTGTTGAGATTTTTCTATATGAAAATTTTTTTTCATTAAAGAAAATTTTCTAATTTTATCTTGAGATATTTTTAAACGATTATTTAATTCAATTAATTGTATTGATGAAAGATTATTATTTATATTATTAATAGATGTTAAAAAATCTGTTTGAGATTCAAGAAGTAAAGCACGAAAAAATAATATTAAAATATGAAAAAAATATTCTATTTCATAACGAAGTTTATCACGTTCATTCATTCTAAATAGATTAATTTCAATAAGAAAAAAAGAAAAATTTTGAAAAATTCATTTCTTTTTTTTTTTTTTTATACATAAATATTCCAGCTAGATTCAATGCAAATGGATTACAAGGAGAATTTTGCGATAAAGAAGGATGTGAATTGATATTATTTAAATTCATATCATCGAATTGAAATTGATTATTATTTTTATTAAAATTATTTATCGATAATGATTTATGAATGATATTAAGTTCATCAAAAGCATTCTCAAATATAGCTGCTAATTCATAAGCACGTGTTTTCATTTGATTTGGTGTAAGATTTAATTTTGGTAACCTTGATTTACCTGAAAAATATTAGTTTAAGTAAATTAAAATATTCTTTCGGATGATGAAGTCTCTTCCAAAGGATATGTAATTCTTTGCTACACTTTATTCTTTTAATAAATTCTAACTTCAACAAAGTTTTTTAGTCTGAGTCTGATAATTGCTTCGAATTCTGCTAGTGACACACCCTACAATCTCGATCATGATTTTATAATAAGCAAGTCATAGTTAGCTGTTATTTTTAGAGTATAGCCCGTTGGACAGCCATGGACACAGATTCGACCTCGACTATCAGAGCACTTTCAGACCTGGGTCTGGACCAGAGATGTGTGGGACCAAGGTTTTTTGGTATTGGTCTCGGTCTAGAAAAAACTATTCCAGAATTTATTCGGATTACATTTAAAAAAGCTATTTCATACTCGTTTTTTTTTATTTATTTAGTCAACTACTAGCACTTTTATAATCTTTAGTTTCGATTGGGACAACTTTTCTCTCTTAGTACACATTTAGCCTCGTACATGGCTTCTTCGAAACTGATCCACCGGACACTAGGGATCAGCTACTGGATAAAACAAACTCTTCATATTGAATGGAAATCAATTTTACGAAGCTGAAGGACTTCTTTTTCGAAGTTTCTGAAATATACCTTATTAGAAACATTTGAAAATGTAGCAAATGTTGTGGTTATAAAGACTAAAATTGATCCTCTTTGGCAGCGTCATTATATCTGAGAGAGGTAAAAATAGTTTTTAGAGCACGTTGAAAAATGCATGTTGTTTTCGACTAGAATTTTGGTTTTTGTAAACTCTAGCCACAAACAATGATGCATTATATTTTGAAACGAAAGTCAATTTTTATTGAAAATTTATTTTTCAGATAATGCTTCTCAACAAAAATGGCTAATCTTTTTCGATTTTTTTGGCTTGTACAGTGTAAACAAGTTCAATTTATTATTCAACCTAGAAATATTTACAATTCGTTTCTTGTCCGATCGGATGGCGCGGAACTTGGGCACAGACTTTTGTTCTACTGGTTCTGCTCTTTCCGATATAAAGATGTTGAAATGTATAATTAGTAAATGACTGAACTATTAAGACTGACATTTATTCCATTTCTTATACACGATAGTTTATTTGAAGTATTTTTGTTCAACCTGCACGAAGAGAAATATTGGATGGATCAATATTATCGGTTGCTGTTTGGTCGAATGGAGTATCAGACGATAAACCTAATTTGTAAAGTTGTTTTTCTAATGTTAAAGTTAATGATTGTTGATCAGGCATTAAAGAACTACGTCTAGATTGATGAGATAAAGTATCAATTGAATTACGAGCAGATTCTTGTGAAGATTTCTCCTGTATGACCATTATATTCGTCCTACGACTTAATATATTATCATTGATTATTGAATGCGAACGATCTGATATTTGATTATTTGCTTGTAAAATAATTTCCAAATTAAATATACGTTTATGAAGAGCATCTATAATTGCATTCATTGCTCTATTAGAAGTAAAAATATCATATCATTTTTAATTATTATAATACTTGAATTTTCGTTAATTATTTGTACTTACGGAGTATAATCAAACCATTGTTTGATCAATAATGATTTATTTGTTGAATGTAAAGCCATTTTTTTTCAAAAATTTTATGTAATGAAAAATACAAAAAAAAAATTCAAGCGCCTTCTTCTCCTTTATTTTTTTATGATTAGCTGTTTATTTTTGTATGGTTGTACGAAAGAAGAATATTGATTAAATAAAGTAGACGAATGTTTAGGTGCTTGTCGGCCAGTACGGCATTAATGGAGTAAAACTTTTCTTGAATGAACGTCATCAGAACTTTTGGAAAGTTCAGTTATAACAAATAATGAACAGTAGTTTTAGTGCATTAGTTGAAAATAATGAGGAGCAGAGAGGAGAAACAGAGTCCACGTACACTCATTTAAAAGAAGTTAAAATAGCAATCCAGACTGTAAAAATAATGTTCAAGTTCAGAATAGAGAGATGTTCATTTATGGAAGACTAATAGATGCTTTCAGTATATGTCGAAAAGAAAAGAGTAAATATGACTTAATAGAAGTTGGCAATTAGATGTTGTCATATACCATTCCTATAATAAATCGAATACAAAATGTTTCCGGCTGTCAATCGAGTCTTATGAAAATTATTTTTCTATTTGTGGATTTTACAATTTTCCATTGATATATCTTTTTTATAAATCGTGCACAAGAATTTTGTATTAAATACTTTAATGACGATTGATCAAATAACTAGGTTAATTTGACATTTACAAAAACGATTTTTTCGTTTATCGTCGTGATAGATTTCATGTTTGGATAACTATGACTTTGTGCAATTTTTGTAGTTTATCGTTATTATTAATTTCTTTCGATAGTTTTGTGAAACAATAAGCCTTCTTTTCTCATCCAGAGTTTTCGTTTGAAACGTTCTTTTATGAAAGAATTGTATGCTGTAATATATAGGAAAGGAGATCTGGTTGATCAACCCTATACAAGACATCTGTGAACATTGACTCGTGCCATCATTAAATTCACTCATTTAATCTTTAGGATAGAATGTCACAAAAATCTGTTGGAAATGCTAACGCAAATATCTCTTATAGAATTCAAGCGATTTCATTGACATTTTCAGATAAATGTCTGTGACTATCAACATTAGAATAAAAATAATTTTATAAATGACCAAATTTGAGGCACCTATGGTTGTGAAATGAAAACTGCAAGTCAAATTCAACAATCCATGTCGCATGTGTCTTCCCAGTATCACCAGTATACCGCGGTGCTCGAAAGAACTGGCAGTAGCCCTTACAAATTCCGGTTCTGCAGACACCTTTTTTTTACCCGAATTCCAGTTTATCGAGAAAGAAACAGTTTCATAACATGTTTTAATAATAAAAGTTTTTGCAGCGCCATCTACAATAAAAAATTTATCTCAGAATCGTGACTAGTACAGACGGCTCAGGTACATCGATATTGTCTTGATGCGAGGAAAATGACTTAATTCTGTTAGTTTTAACAGACTTAAAAAACAATCAGCAGTTTTTGTCCGGTTCAAATCACATGTGAAAACACACCAAGTGAAGATTGTATTAAAGTTACATTTCAATGCTTTTGTGAAATTGGTACAGTGGAAGATAATCAAAAATTACAAAAGAAAAAGTCGACGATGTTCATCGTGTTTGTGAAAACTGAACCGCAATCAAGTGTTCGAGTTGTCGCAAAGGTCTGCTTCCGCCCACGAACAACAGCGTATTGAGTTATTACTGAATACCTTTCATTGAAACCTCCAATACTTGATTGTAGTTCAATTTTTACAAACACCATAAACTCTGTGGATTTTTTCTTTTGTAATTTTTGATTATCTTCCACTGTACCGGTTTCACAAAAGCATTGAAATGTAAGCTTATTGAAATCTTCACTTGATATGTCATTGTCAAATTCGACTTGCAATTTTCATTTCACAACCATAGGTAACTCAAATTTGGTCATTTATAAAACTATTTTTATTCTAATGTTGATAAACATAGACATTTATCTGATAATATATATAACAAAACTTTAACGAAAAAAAGATCAATAAAATGGCTTGAATTATATAAGAGATATTTATATTAACTTTTCCGATAAACTTTCGGGACACCCTGTAACTATTGCTTAGACTATGCTAAATCACTTGGTAACTTTCTGTTTTCTCTAATCGTTCTCATATTTGTTCATACATACTACTTAGGTCAGTTCAAAAGTAGTGGCGAAGGTATATCAATTTCTTATAGAAAGCTCTATTTTTCTATGTTATTTGATCATACTTTAACTAATATCATGATAATAAATTTTTGATAAA